TTAGTTTCACCTTTTGAGTTGCCTTACTGACATAAATGAACATTTGCACAATATTCTAATTTTTCGAGTTTCACCTGTATGGTTGGAGTGTTCTGTGGGTCAGAACTAAGAGAACGGCAGCAATACTGGGTTGCAGATATTGAAGGGCCACATTGAAGAAGACAACATCCAAGCATTTTCATTCCAGGACAGTAGAGCTGGTAAGAGTTGTCTCTGAAACTCAAAAACTTACAGTGGTGCACACTTGTGTCTGGCCTAGGAATATTTCCCCAGTTCAAGTTCAGTTAATGCCACTGTCACTTGGCTGTAGCCACCTAAACTCCTCCTGTCTCCCCACCAGATTTGGCCCCCACCACTGCTTCCCACCACCGCTATTTATCCAGCCACGTGAACCTCTGATGTGGCTTAGGAGCCATGGGGCAGCACGGGCCACCCTGGGAATTGGGCACTGTGACCACAAGAAAGGCAAAGGGGCACTGCAACAGCAGAGCAACTTGTTAGCCAAACAGCTTCATGCAGAGCAGGAACCAGAAAGATTGTAAGACCTGCCCTTGTACCCAGATTAGGCTTGTTTAGACCTCAGAAAATTATTTGGAGGGTACCACGTGGCTCATAAGCCACAAGTTTGAGACATCCCCTCTACTCCATAAACTGGGAAGCACAAAGTATAAGAATGTAGTCCTTTCTATAGCATTTGTGAATATTAATTTTAGAGAGCTGCATGTAACTCAATGTTCTTTGAATAGTCTCATATAGTCTCACTGAATCTAGATTTTTGCAAGACAGTGGTACCTTAAAATGTTAGATCTGGTATTTTGCAATACTAGTTACTGTTTATGCATCTCCATATTTTTATACTACAGTGATTATCATAAAGCATTGGCTTTATGATTTGTGTTTTGGACTGTATGGAGAAAAAAACAAGCTAAAAATTCTTAACAGAATGGGAATGGTGGTTTCAATAAACAAAATCACAATCTATGATCTAGATCTACATGTTTACACTTGTAGAACTTCCAGGAGTTTAAATGAGCAGCTGATATATTGAATAGTTCCTTTTTATTTTCAGTGCATACATGTTATAATGTTCAGTGTACACTGAAGTTACTATGTTCTTAGCATCCTTCTGTAAGCTCAGCTCATTCTGAGCTTTCTGAAATTATCTTAAGAATTCTAAGCATTCTTCCACATTCCTTTTTCTGCTTCCTAAACATGTCCTGTTAGTTCCAGAAAAGGTTTTATGATAAACTGGAAACAATCTTGGACACTTTTCCCATTTCCATTGGAATTGTCTGCACTTGTGCCTTAAGAATAGTCACTTTTCTTGTGCCAACTTCTACCCTCTGAAGGAGGAAGTTCTCAACAAGACAAGTTAGGAATTTGCTGGAAGCACCATGCTTGGCAAGTATTTGTTTGTCTCCCAGAAAAAGTTGGGGTAATTAAAGTCCCCCATTCTTAATACTTTATGCCTCTTTGAAAGATCTGCAGTTTGTTTTTGAAAAATATAATCTGTTATCACCATTCTTCCACTTGAATTTTTAAATAGGTGTGTATGTTTAACACACACCGCAACTCCTTTCTTAAGCTTCTGTTTATTTTGAACAAACTGTGTTCTCCAATTAATATATCTGACTGTTTATAGTATAGTCAATATGCGGTGACTAAGTTATGTCATTTCACCAGCACATGATCATACTTATTAAATTATTTTTGCTTTTCGGTATAAAGCATTCAACCTTAAATACATGAACTTTATATATTAACTGTATGTAATGAACTTTACGATTTTTTTCAGAGTTGTTTAATAACTCCTTAATTTAGGTTTTTTTCTCCAAATGTCACAGAATATATACACTTTCCATAAGTTTGGGAATACACATACACATACAATTGTATTTAATATTTTAAATACAGTAGTATTTAATATTTTAAATTAATCATTTTAATATACATGTAAGTTTCTTTTGTCTTTCCCTTTCTTATTTGCATTTGTTTTTTATTTTTATATTTTAGTTTATCTTAATATGGTTTAATTAAAAATAAATAACATTAAAATATTATTTATGCAGTTAATATATGATTAAATAATTTGGTAATGCTTAGATAACAAATTGAAGTTCAAAGAAGCTGCTGTTTTCCAAGTGATAAGCAAGAAAATAGTAGCTGATCTCATCTGTTATGTGAGTCAAATTATTAAAAAGTTTAATTATATGCTAGCCCAAGGAATAATTGTTTGATTTAAGATGGCCAGCTCTGGGTATAAAAAGTTTTGTAGAAAATCTCAGGTTTGAATGAGGTTCATAACTGAAGATGGAATATGGAATAATTCACAGAAAGGAATGGCATGCCAATCTCTGATTACAGTATTTTAATGACTATACTCGTCAGCTGGGTGACTCTAGGCCAGTTATATATAAAAAGGCAGGATCATCATCATCATCATCATCATCTGTGGTTGAGCCATACATAACATATTTCAAGAAGTTACCACTGAAAATTACGCAGCCAAAAAATTAAGAGCCCGCTTAACTTCTTAAACTTTAGAGGATGTGTTATTAATTTCAACTGTATTGTGCTACAAAAAAATACAATAAGGATCAACAATTAATTAAAACAATTGGTAATAATCACATTCAAAATGTTTATATTGTTATTATTCCACATTTTACATTTAGGCAGCTCTACATTTCTGTTCAACAGAAGCCTTTATTAACAGAGACACAAATGAAAATATAAAATTATTTGGTAGGCTGAATCAGGACACATAGGTTACAACAGAAAAAGGGTTTGATGCAATTTTTTTTTATTAAATGGTGCCCAAATATTTGGGAGGTGAATTTGCCAGTTTAAGAATACTTTTGTTCACATGCTTTTAAGACATTTTGGAAAACCTATTGCAACATACTGAGTTAATTCCTCCTCCTCCTCTTGTATGCAACATTTATATGTCCTTTTCAAGATATTCCTGCTTTCACTCTCGCTCTCTACCAATGATGCAGCAAAATGAATACTGTGGAGATACCACAATTAGCCTCACCTACAGCAACTGTACATCTCAGTTTATTATTATCATAATATCAAAAAGCAGAGTCCTGTAACAAAGACATATAAATCACATATAAATCGTGCCCATAAGAATTTATTACCACTAGTAATTTTATGTATGATTACTTCACTACAGCCATAATGTGTTTCTGCTTTTCTGACACAAGTGGTATAGATCCAGGCTTGCTATGTTTACGACGGTTCAGTTCCCTAGAAAGAGAGACATTAAAATATATTTTATGTATTTCATTGCTTAGGGAATAAAGTTACTAACTGCATAACCAATATTAATATATCAGAATGTATTATTATATTTGGAATACAATTAATTTATTATGTACTGGATTATGATCCTGGAAAAAATGAATTTTAAGACACTCTCTTCAGGGCAAATTCATTTAAAATAGAAATAAAACCCAGAACACGGATAGTCAATGTTCTTCCAGTTCTCCAAGTATATGCTGTGCATTGGGCTAATCCTGATCTTGTTTTTCTAAGATAACATCAGCTCCCATTTGTACAAAAAATGATCAAATTAACAGATGAATCCCATTTAGGTAGTAGAAAAAGATGGCATCCGCTACTACCTGAACAGCAGTAATTTCTGCTATACCAGAACAAGAGCTCAAGGAGTCCATTCTCCTTTTTGCTGCTCTTCGTATCTTAATTTAATTAATAGTAGGATAGATCTGATTGGGAAGCCTGAAGAAAAATAGAAGCCCTATTTAGGGACTAAGTAAGCCATTAGTCACTGACACAGATGCCATCAAATCAGGTTCAGCTTCTGATGACTGCATGGACAAATGCTCACCATCTCAATCTATCTCTAACAATAACCTGTACTTCTTCCAAGGACATTCCTGTAATGTCTCTGATCCCATCCACCTTCATTATCTATTGTCATCCCCTTCTACTTCCTCCAACAGGGCCAAGCATAATTATTTCTATCCTATGACTTGGGTAGTCCAAGTGATCGTTCCAGCAAATAAATGTTATTATGGAATTAAGCTTGGAAAGGAAACAATGTATTGTCCAATCCAACATCCTGCACTTTAGAAATGTATCCAATAAATCAGAACAAGTTATTGTCCAGATTAATCTTATAATTAACTGGAAAAGATTCCAAAGTCTGTCTAGACAGCTTCTTTCCCCACTGAACTGCAATGAATTTAGAACTCCACAGTCTATTGAAAAGTGAACAAAGAAATGAAAAGAATGATAGAATACATTTAATTTTTAAAAAATGAAATAAAAAAGCATACTTTCGCCGACGAGCTTCTTTCATAATGCGTTGCTCTTTGGCTTGACTATAGATGATCTTTGGTAAGTGACGATGACGACTTATACGTCTGATTTGGGGATGATGCTGGAATTTTTCTTTCAGTTTTTGATTATAGTTAATAGCAGCTTTCTCTCGAGGAACAAGCTGGGAAAAAAATAATGATCTTAAAACATATAGTCAACAGTGATATATTCCACAAAACCAGAACAGGTTTATGAATGTGCAGTTTCTCAGGAACCCTTGTCAACTTCAGTATACTGACTACTGGGTAAGGTCATGGAACTGCAAGATCTCAAAGAATGGCACAAAGTAATATCTGGCAAATGCCTACTGATCAGTCTTAAATTGGACACTGATGGGGAGGGAAAATTAGTTCTGAATTTGTACTGAAACCAAAGAAATTTATTTTAACTGGGAAAGTCTCTACAGAGTTATACATCCCTGATTATCTTTATTCCAACAGAAAGCAAACCAATAAATTTAATAAAAAGGCAATCTATTGTCTTCCGCTCAGCCTAGTTAATAAATCCCTGATGATTTAACTGTTAAATACATGAGAAAAAGTCCTATATTGGTCATTGGAATTATACAGAATATACCTCAATGTCCAACTGGATTTAACCTAGCTCTCCAGTAGATGAAATGTAATTCTTTTTCAACAATTGTTGCTATAGAGAGAAAAACTATACATTAACCTTTATTAGCTGTAGAAGATATTTTCCACCACTCATTGTATTTCATTTCTTTTGCTTAGTCAGCAGTACATTTTAATAATTCCTGTTATGCAAACTGTCAATATAATCCAAATTAAAAGGTTTTCATTTTAATTAAAGGCAATTACATTAAAATGGTAGCTGACAGAATCCTATTTCTTTCAAAGGGATAAGCTTTTTTTTAAATATTCACAGTATTTCTGGCTCTATCTGCTCACTCTAATTATAAAATGAACAATATAGAAGAGTAAGAATGAGCTCTTATACAATTAGATTGGCCAAATCTGCAAGCCCAGAAAAGCCTGTTGTAAGTCACTAAGATAGAATTCTGTACATCCATTCCTAGTAATCAGCAGTAGTAGCACTTCATCTTGCTACATTTTATAGCAGCTCTTATTTATTTATTTCTAATATTTATATACTGCCAACATTATAAGAACTCTAGGCAATTTACAAATAATAAATTAAGAAGTCACACAAATCTCCAAAATTCAATAGATTAGGTTTACCTTTAACATTAGAATTAAAATAGTTTAAAGAACAGAATTACAGCAGCCATGCTAAGCACAAGATTATCACCATCCAAAACCCTGCCAGAAAAGCCACCTCTTACAGCTTTCAAAAAGATGTTAAGTGGGGGGACCACTCAGATCTTAGGGGGAAGCTTATTTCAGAAGACCAGGGCAGCTATGGGGAAGCTCTGCTTCTGGGCCCTCACTCCCTTTACCTCCCAGGCTGAGGGAACCCTAATATACCATCTCAAACAGAGCAGACAGCCAAATAAAATCTGTTTGGATGAGATGCTCCAGAAAGTGCCCTGGACCCAATCCTTTTTATAGGTTAACACTAGCATCTTGAATTATATACAGAAATCTATTGGAAGCCATTGCAAACCCTGCAATATACATTGTATTATACTTCTGAATTCACTCTCACTTGTAAGCATTTGCAACATTGCATTCTACATCTACTGCAACTGCCAGGTAGTCTTCAAGGGCAATCAAGATAGAGCACTTTGTGATAATCCAATCCAGATGTAAGGACATTGAGTTACTGTTGCCAAGATCTCCTGTTTACAACTTCACAAGGGCATCCTTGGCCATGGCCCCCACCTTGGATGCAGCTGGAACTATAAATCCAGGTGCCACTCCAGTTGTATACCTGCTCCTTTACAGAGAGCACAATTCTCTTCCACAGCCAGAGGGAGATATTCACCCATCACATGATGTGTGTACCAACAGCTGCATCACCTTCATTTCAATTTCAACTTGTTTTACCCCCCGAGTGCCAGGTACTATAGATGTGGCAAAAAAGGATGCCTGTGCTCTCCATCTGCATACCCATTCTATGTTTCTGGATGATCTCTGGCGGGAGCAGGACAGGGGCAGTGCATCTGTCCTTGCTCTCCTTGACCTCTCAGTGGCCTTCAATACCATCAACCATGGTATCCTTCTGGATGGGCTCTGTGGGTTGAGAGTGGGCAGCACAGTATTGGGCTGGTTCTCTTCCTTCCTATGGGGCCAGTACCAGTCAGTGTTGATTAGGAAAGAGAGATCCTGCCCACGGCCCCTACGATGTGAGGTATTGCAGAGTTTGGTATTCTCTCCACTCCTATTTAACATCTCCATGAAGCCACTGGGTGAGATCGTTTGTCGCCATGGAATGAGATATCATCAGTATGCTGATGGTACCCAATTGTACATCTCCACCCCTGGCAAACTAAGCAATGCTGTTGTTGTCTTGACCCAGTGCCTGGAGGCTATGGGGTTCTGGATGGGGAACAAGAAGCTTCAACTGAACCCTGTGGCTCTGGGGTTTTGGGCCTTCTGCATCTGAGACTTTACCATCTTTGGTACTGGATGGGGTGGCACTACCCCAGACAGGCCTGGTGCACAATCTGGGGGTCCTTCTAGACTCCAACTCCTGCTCAAAGAACAGATGGCAGTCGTGGCTAGGAGGGTCTTTGCACAGCTTTGTGTTGTGTGCCAGTTGCATCCTTTCCTGGATCATGAGGTTGTACTCACAGCCACTCGTGCCCTGGTCACCTCCAGAATGGATTACTATAATGCGTTCTACATGGGGCTCCCCTTGAAGAGTATTCGAAAGCTTCAACTGGTGCAGAATGCGGCTGTGCGGACACTTATGTGCGCCCCTAGGATGGCACACATTACATCTGTTCTGTGAGCTGCATTGGCTGCTGGTTTGCTTCCAGGTACAATTCGAGGTGTTAGTTTTGATCTTTAAAACCCTACATGGCATGGGATCAGGCTATTTGAGGGACTGCCTCTTTCCGATCACATCTGCCCATCTCATCAGGTCCAGCAGGAGGAGTATGTAGCAGGTCCCCTCTGTTAAAGAGTTCCATCTGATGGGACCCAGATGGTGTGCCTTTTCTGCTGTGGCTCCTGCCCTCTGGAATATTATCCCAAGGTGAGGATAATCCCCATCCCTGTTAGCCTTTTGGAAAGCCCTGAAAACGTGGCTTTTCCAGCAGCCTTGGGGATCCCATGGGGAGCCTACACAAATGTTATATTATGATTAGATTAACATTCTTCTCCCACAGTCTTGCTTTTATTTATATTTTTAAGGTTTTTTAAACAGCTGTGATATTGTTCTGTTGGTTGTACGCTGCCCAGAGTCATGTTCAGTGAGATGGGCAGCCATATAAATTGAATGAATGGATGAATTAATTAATTAATTAATTAATGCTTATTTTCAAAAGTAGCAGCTGGTGCTCACAGGAACAAAGGCCCTGGAAGCTCCATTTACTTGGCAAAAAGCATTCTTGCCACATATTATGCACAACAAAAAACTACCCAAACTAACAATATATGAACTTCTGCATCATATATTGTTATTTATTTTTGTATTAATTATACCACCTTTTACTGGACCACAAGTCTTTGTAGATCTTGGGATCCAAGAAATGCTATGTTACACTTCCATGCAAAAGTTTAAGCACCCCTGCTCAATTTATATGTCTCAATGAATCCCTAAGTAAAAAAAACTAATACAGCTTCTGCATGATACAAATGTAAACAAGGCATATATCTGCAAATTTGTATTCATACAATTTATGTTTATTTGTTTCACAGATTCATAATATGAAAATAGTGAATATGGCAGGTGCGGAAGCTTGGAACCCTTTCAAATGATTCATTGCTCCTTTTTTATTTTAATGCTGTTGACTTACTGACCTACCATTAGTTTGGTAAAGACAATTCCACAGGTGAACAAATACTCTGACCCTTATAAACCCTCAGGCTGTGATTGTGTTCCATCTACTTTCAATAATCATGGTCTCATCTAAACAGTTGTCTAAGCATTTCAAAATTAATATAACTCATTCTTAAAAAGCAGGGGAAAGCTATTTTTAAGAAGTCTTGGATTCTTCTAGCTAGCAATTTCAACTTGAGAAACATTAAGATATGGAAGTTACATGGAAATGCTGAGGTCAAGGCAAGATCTGGAAGACCAAGAAAATTCTCTGCTAGAACTCTCTCCAAACTAGTCAGATCTGCAAAACAGAATTTGCTGATGCCTAGAAATAGTCTGCTAAAAAATTAGCTGACACTGGGGTACTATTTACAGGTACACAATATAACTCTGTTTATACAACAATTTTATTGCTTCTACAATTGCATAATGGTTTACAATTGTAAAACTGATTACACAGCAGTGACTGGAGAGCCAGTTTGGTGTAGTGGCTAAGGTGCTGGGCTAGAACCAGGAGACTGAGTTCTAGTCCTCCCTTAGGCATGAAAGCCAATCACACTCTCTCAGCCCAGCCCACCTCACAGGGTTACTGTTGTGAGAAAATTAGGAGGTAGAAGTATTAAGTATGTACACCACACTGAACTGACAAAGAATGAAAATCTAATAATAAATCTGCACAGAGAGCTCCCAGAAGGAAACCTTTTCCCCCTATCTCATCACAAAAGACATTATCTAAAGGATGAAAAAGAAAACCTTGATAATCCTGAAACAGTCCATAATGAAACAAAAAAGGAACTATTCAGTCACAGTCACAAAATACATACAGTACTTGGAGAAAAAAAGAGTAAAGCATTTGAAGGGAAAAAACACCTTATCAACCATAAAGGAGAGCCAGTTTGGTGTAGTAGTTAAGGCATCAGGCTAGAAACCAGAAAACTGTGAGTTCTAATCCTGCATTAGGCATGAAGCCAGCTGGGTCACTATGGATCAGTCATTTTCTCTCAGCCCTAGGAAGAAGGAACTGGCAAGCCACTTCTGAAAAATTCTGCCAAGAAAACTGCAGGAAGCAGTGACCAGAAGTCAAAACTGATTTGGAGGCACAAATTATCATCATCATCATCATCATCATCATCATCATCATCATCATCATCATCCATTAAACAAAGGTGTGATTTTATGAGGCTTTGAAATTACAGGGCAACCAGTGCCAGAGGA